AAAGTGTGAATAAGTTGATGGAGGCCTTACAATGCATTTCTTCTTTGCATATCATCAAGTAGTTTGGTGCTGCCCGAGTATAGGGGAATGGTTGCCGGTAATAGAATATTTGTCTCAGAATTGCTTATACTAGGGGTTGGCAAACTTTTTCTGTAAAGGGCTAGATAGTAAATATGTTAGGTGTTGTAGGCCGTAGACTTTGCAGCTACTGAACTGTCATTGTGGTGTAAAAGCAGTCATCAACTGTATATCAATGAGTTATCATGACTGTGTGCTAATAAAACTTTGTGGACATTCAAATTTGCATTTCATATACTTTTTATGTCATAAAATATTACTTTTAATTTTCAGTCATTTAAAAATGTAAAAACTTTAAAAACTATTCTTACTTAGCTCCACTGGTTGTACCTTAAACTTAGTATGTCCAGAACTGAGCTCCAAATGCTCTCCTCATCCTCAAACCCATTCTTTCACAGTCTTTCATATCTCAGTAAATTGCAGATCCATTGTTTGGGCCCAAAATATTAAAATTACCCTTGATTATTTCTTTATTTTTCTCTTCTGGCAGCTGATTGTGCTGTACCTTCAAAATGTATCCAGAATCTGATCTGTTCTCACTACCTCCACTGCGCCCTTCATCCAAGTGTTCATTCTTCTTCTGGATTTTTGCAGCAACCTCTGAATTGATTTCTGTCCACTTCTGCTCTCTTTCCCCTTCATGACCCCCCCCCCACCACCTTAATGACTTCTTTGTTATAGAAGAGAGCAGCGGAGATTTTTGAAACCAGACACTTTGAATTTTAGGATTGCAGTATGATTTGGGGGAAGTCACTTTACTTCCCTGAATCTCAGTCTTACATTTAAAATGGGCATAATACTTGTTTCATAGAATTGTTATTAGTATTGAATGAGATAATATTGTAAAGATCTTTCTGGTACTGCACCCAGCAGAGAATAGGTAATGGAACAAATAAATTGTGGTTCCTTTTTCTCTTTTCTACTCCAAACAGATGAGCTGCTTTTCATCTTTTCTGGTTATTAAAGTGCTTATGTAGCCAGGGCGCATCTTATCTATGTACCTACCTCTTCATAAGTGACATTTGGCTAATAAATAAATCTGTCTTATGTTCCTGGTCCTTCCTTTTGCACTTTAAAAAAAATTCCATTCATATCTTTCAGTTCATGTCTGCCTTTGTTGGCATTAAGTGTATACAGTTCTTACAGATTCATGCCTGATTAGTAAAAGGCACCAGAGTTTATACTTGAATAGTAAAACTTTAATCTCTTTGTATTGTATTCTATTCAGTTTTAATACCCCTCCCATGCCTTCTATTAGGGTCATATATTTAAGTTACCAAAGAAGGATTGAAAACAACCAACTTTAAAATTTTTTTCATAAAAGCTAATCTGTTATTGATTCTAGCACAGTATTTAACTGAGAACACTAAAGATGAGCTTGGCTTACCAAGTTCAAGGTTACTTAAATTGTTAATTTTTCAACTCTAATATTTTGATCCTGGATTGAAAAGAAGAATCATTTAAAGTATCCCCTTCTTACAGGAAAGAAAATATTTTTCTTGGAATTGTTCAGGCACTTTCTTACTAGACTTTCTCTAACTTAAGTTCCTTCATAGAAATCACTACATACTGAATATCCCTATATGGTTGGTATTTCTTTACCAGGCCTATTTTAGTGCTTTAATACCCCTCAATTGAAAGTTATTTACACTTTGAGATAAATTCTCCAATGACATTTTTCCCCTTTGAAATAATGGGAATAGGAAATCTATTCATGTTTCTCAGTATTAAAAGTATATTGTTTTATATTGCTGGATTTAACTCAGTGTGCAGATAAAAAAAACAAATGTTCTCTGCTGATTATCTCAAATCCAGGAAACCTAAGCTCTGGTTTTAAAAGCTAGTACTTGAGTTGAACAGTCAGGTCTTTTCTTTTTATTTCTGTATCTGTTAAAACAGGGGGCTTTCCTCTGCAAAGTTCACAGTATAATCTGAAGTAAGTCTTTAACTTAAGTTTGATGAGTAAATTCTTACCTCATAGACACAGCCCCGTCCTATCTTCTACACTCTGGGGTGAGGTAATCAGTCTTGTGCAAATAACTTGACTTGCTTGAAGACTGAAGGTCTTCTGTTTTGTCCATAAATGTAGATATAAGTGTCCTGCGTGGGAGGTCTTATCTGTACTTTGAATTGTGTGTTAAGTGAAGCAAAAACATTTAAAGTACTGTATGTCATTGTAGTCTTGTTATTTTGGATAATGGATTCATTGGTTGCATAAGCATACCACAAACACTTTTAAAGAGGTTGAAATTTTTTCCAACATCATCTTGGGGAAGTGGTGAGTTTATTCTTCTTAAAAAATCTTTACTGTTTACTTTTACCTGAGAGTTAATCTCAACTCTTATGTTCAGTCTACACTGAAGTAAGATGTGGTTGGTTATAGGGTTTCAGTCTTAAGAGTGAATTGCTCAAATTTACTGCAGTGTATTTCTGATTTAATTTTGAAAGTTTAGGCAGTTAAAACATTTTAGATTATGATGGTATCAAAATTGATTTTTTTGTCTTATTATTCACTGGCTTGCTGACTTAAAACTATATCTTAAGCCATTTCTTGCCTATATTTTTCCTCTGGGTTGTTTTATTGATATCCTAACATTCCACAGATGATGCAAATTTAATACTATTTGAAGCCTAGTTTTTTTTTTTTAATTTTTTGCCTCGTATTGTTTAGGAAGACAGCGCTGATGAGGGAAATGTCTATATTTTATTCATATTACTTCTCACATACTTTAAGAGCATGTTTTTTTTTAAAGATTTTTTTTTTAATTTACTTATTTGACAGAGAGAGAGAAAGCCAGAGAGGGAACACAAGCAGAGGGAGTGGGAGAGGGAGAAGCAGGCTTCCTGCCGAGCAGAGAGCCCGATGCGGGGCTCGATCCCATGACCTGAGCCGAAGGCAGACACTTAACGACGGAGCCACCCACGCGCCCCTAAGAGCCTGTTTTGATGTTAAAACAAATTATATATATAAAATTTTATCCACATAGAAAAATCAGAAAAATGAAAATTTAAGACCCGCCTGAATATGAATGTTGCTTATTGTAATTGATTTACAAGTAAAGGAGAAGAAAGATACTTGCATAAAAAAATTAATTACTAGGATGAAAGATTGACTAGTATTGTCTTTACGCATCCTGATTTAAGATGCCATAGATTTCTGGTATACTTTTGTATTTTGATAAAATCAACATTGGGGCGCCTGGGTGGGTTCAGTCGGTTAAGCGTCTGCCTTCGGCTCAGGTCATGATCCTGGGGTCCTGGGATCAAGTCCCTCATCGGGCTCCCTTCTCAGCGGGGAGACTGCTTCTCCCTTTCCCTCTGCCTCCCTCTCCCCCTGCTTGTGCTTTCACTGTGTGTCAAATAAATAAATAAAAATTTTTTAAAAAATGAATGTTTATTCCACAATAATTTAGGACTGCATAATACTTATCTTTTTCTTTTGTTTAATCTGTTGAAAGACCTAAGTTATTTGATCTGTATAATTTCCCACAGTCTGAATTTTGTTGATTGTGTACCCAGGAACAATTCAACATTTTCCTCTGTCTTTTGTTTTTCCTGAACACTGACAGCTAGATTCAGAGGTTTGACCAGACTCAGGTTTGATCGAAAACTATAGTTTTGCTCCTGTCATCAAGAGGCATATAATGTCTGGTTTTTACTCTTTTTTAATGTTATTAGTCATTGATGCTCAGTGCCTCTGGAGCCATTAATTCATTATGAAATGGTGATATTCTCATTTTTTCTTTTGGTTCTCATTTATTATCTGGAATGATTTTATAGAAGATCTCTCTTATGTACTCTTTGGGTACCAGTACAATTTATATAGGAAATGTAGCATGAATTGCTTAGTTCTTTCCTTTTTCCCAGATTTCAAGATAATGAACTGGATTCCTGTCATCCTCAGAAGGTGACCAGTTTAGTGTAGTGTTGTTTTTTTAAACATCATTGTGATCTCATGACCAGGGAGAGCCCACTCCCCACTGGGCTTGATCCCAGGACCCTGAGATCATGACCTCAACTGAAATCAAGAGTCAGTGCTCAACCAACTGAGCCACCCAGGTGCCCCAACTTTCTGTTTCTTTTAAGATCTTCTGTTATGTTTATTTGTTTGTTTTCTTATAGTTCAGTCTTCAGTACTGAAATGATTTTTGTTTTATTTCTAGTTCTTTCTTGGTTTCTCTTTCCTCATTTCTGAGTTTTTCTGATTCTGATTTATATTGCTCTTTGATGTATTATATAATTTTCTTATATCTTATAAGACGTATAAATGTAATTTTTATTAGTAAAACATATAGCCCAAGGGATTATTTGACATACTTTAAACAGATAAGCAGCTGTAATTAATTTAGACATTGCTTTAAATCTTTAAATCAAGGCTTAGATACTGGGATCTGTGAGTGAACTTCAGAGTTGATAACATTATTCATTACATGCGAAGTAGAGTGTATATGTATGGGGATAGGGAAGGAACTGCTTGACTTTCTTTACACTTCCAGAGGGAAGTGTAAACTGTCCTCACAAAAATATGGGTAAGAACCTTTGATTTATAAAGGAAAAAGTCCTCAAATATTTCAGTGATTGAGATTATAAGAAATGAGAACAAATGCTAGATATTATAGTTTTTAAAAAAGATTATTTATTTTGGGGGGGGGAGAGTGTGTGGGGTCGGAGGGGCAGAGGGAGAGGGAGAGAGAGAATCCAAGCAGACTCCCCGCTGAGTGCAGAACCTGATGCTGGGTTTGATCTCACAACACTGCAACCCTGAGATCATGACCTAAGCTGAAATCAGGAGTTGGACACATAACCGACTGAGACACCCAAGTGCCCCTAGATAGTGTAATTTTAAGATGCAGATGGCACCATAGAAGATATTACATCAATTCCATTATCTATTTGCTTATGCCCTTTCTACTTTTAAATAGATGGAGGGAGCGAGGAACCACCGGATCGAAGACAGTCAAGTGTAGACTCTCGCCAAAGCCGCTCTGGGCAAGGTAAGCTTTCATTAAATTTATTATTAAATTGAAAAGATATCAGCTATTCCTTTCTAGTACTAACTCTGAGGTTTGGGGTTTTCTCTGGGTCTAGTTTATTTTATTTTATTTATTTGAGAGAGAAAGAATGAGAGACAGAGAGCATGAGAGGTAGGAGGGTCAGAGGGAGAAGCAGACTCCCCGCTGAGCAGGGATCCCCATGTGGGACTCGATCCCGGGACTCCAGGATCATGACCTGAGCCGAAGGCAGTCGCCCAACCAACTGAGCCACTCAGGAGCCCTCTCTGGATCTAGTTTAGATATTCTAGTTTCTCCTTTAGAGCTTTAAATGTGGTAATCTAAAAGTTCTATGATATCATTTATTCAAGATAAAATGAAAAATTTTCTCGTCATTTTTTTTAAATGCTAATACCTTAATAAGATTTTAAGTAATTTTGAAGCTTTGTGATATATATCTGGATATCACTTTTGGAATATCACCTAAAGTAAATTTTTAACAGTAACATTTGTATTAGCACACTGGCTTTTTAAAATTTAATCAATACAGTATTTGTTGTCTTATCTCAGAAGAAATGGTTTTTGTTTATAATTGCTATTTTAAATTAGGATCTTACTAATTATTTTCCTTTTCTGTTGAAAATTTATTATCTGCTGTAGACTGGTTTTTTGAAGTGAACAACTTCCAAACTAGGTAAAAACATCCTGTATCAGTGAAATCTTCAGATAGGCCTTCCCTAATTAACTTATTTAAAATTGTATGACTAGTACCCCCACATTCCTTTTTCTTCATAGTACGTATCACCTTTGTATTTATTCTATTTTCTCTGTCCAAAACTAGAATGAATGTTTCATGATTATAGAGATTTTTGTCTGTTCTGTTCATTATTGTATTTCTAGTGCCAAGAATAAGTACCAGGCATATAGTAGTTACAAAATAAATATTGCTGAATGAATGAAATGATCTCTAAGAGAATGGAATTGAGAACCCGAATTGATGAATATATTACAAAATTTCAGGCAGTCATTTTGACTGATGTATGATTCTTAGAGAATGTTTACTTATAAATAAAATAAAGCTTTGATTTACAAATGTATGGTGTTTTTTATCCTGTAAAAGTTTCTGGTTCGTTTATTCCATAATCCTATTACCTTTTTTCTCCAAGTTTGCTCTTCCCTAGTTTTGGAGTTGTACTGTTTTTATAAAATTATTTGTTGCAGAATAAAAAGAGGAATAATATATGCAGGTTGATTTGGAAATTTTAACTTATACTAGTACTTACTCATTCTTAAATAATATGCATGGTATTATATCAGAAATTTGTCTGATTTTTTTTCCCCTTAAACATTTTTATATGAAAGAAGAACTTAAAATGAATTACAGTATATAAGTATATCAAATCAACACATTGTACACCTTAAACTTTCATAGTGTCATATATGTCAATAATATCTCAATAAACCTGGGGGGGGGAAGAAAGAAAATGAACACATGTATGAAAGACCCTAAAAATAAAATCAGTAGAAATTAATAGAAAAAAATTATACTAATTTTTATTAAATATCATAATTTGTATTAAATGTCACAGATATAGATATTGGAGATTATTTATTTATCTTATGCCCCATGGGCTGTGTCAGTTAAAATACTTTTCAAATCACTGAGTGTAGTTGAGTTTTAATAACAAAAGCTGAGGGGCACCTGGGTGACTCAGTTAAGTGCCTGCCTTTGGCTCAGTTCATGACCCTGAGGTCCTGGGATTGAGCCCTGCATCGGGCTTCCTGCTCAGCTGGGAGCCTGATTCTCCCTCTCTCTCTGCCCCTCCCCCTGTTTGTGCTTGCTCTCTCTCTCAAATAAATAAATCTTTAAGAAAACAACAAAAACAAAAGCTGAACCTAATAACAGCAAAATCAGTGATCTCCATGACCTTGAGCACAACTACCTGATCTCAGTTAGAAATTACCAGGAATTGTATCATCATTAGAGTTAACTAATAGTTAAAGCGTGTTTCTTACCTTCTCTGAGATTTTGTTTGTAGTATCTCTTTATTCAAAAGAGAAATAAAAATTACAAAGCCATCTATAATGAGCTGAATGAGCATCAGTATTATCAGGAGTAAAGAGATGGGATAAACAGGCACTTCCACCTTTGCTCCTTGCCGAAAACCTGCTAAACAATCGGTAAAGGGGGATTGGAGAAAAGCGAACATCAACACAATTTAGAAACTGGAGAGTATATGAATAATTAAAAACTGAACCCTAAGCTCAATAGCAGAGAAAATCAAGAAAACAACCTCAAAAAACTCAAGAATGGTGGCATGTAGAAATGGAGATGAAAGGAAGATTAGCTGAAAGTCAGTTGAAGCAGCATTTGATTCCTGAGACCTCTTCCTCAAAATTAGCTAACCAGTCAGCTGGTCAAGTGCCCAACTCCCTACTCTTATCATTGGCAAAACCCAGAAATTTATTCTTTGGAATAAAATAGAGATTCTAGACTGGGAGACACCTACCAGGCATAGTTGAGGGCAGTCCTATACTGAAAATAGGACAGTTGGACTCCAGTTGTCTTTATCCTGTTGGCACTAGGATACTGGCAGGTAGGCTTTCATATTTCAGGCAGGAGGTTGGCATAGTCTTTTCTGAAGAATCTGACTAAAAAGAAAGACACAAAATGTAGCCATCAGAGATTCCTTAAAAAAACAGCCCAGCTAGATCGCTCTATGTATCAAAGCTCTCAATCAGCCTTTTAGTCCTCTTCTCTTAAATATTAGCAACTAACCAAGGGTTACTTTAGATATTTGAAGAAACCCTCTAATGTATGAAAGATAGAGATTAAAATAAGTAGAATAAAGCAACTTGGAGAGAACTTGGAGAAATTTTGCAGAGAAAAATAATGGAACTATTATTAATATTCTTTAGAAAAAAAAAGAAAAGACTTTTGTCATATATGTCATTTTTTTTTTTTGGGGTTTTTTTTTTTTTTTTTTTTGCCTGCCTTGTACCCTTTCTTAGGAATCTTTAGGATATGATCCATCAAAATGAAAAAGACAAATAAAAGGAAGAAATGGGTTACAGGAAATAGGAAGTTCAACAAAGGAGAAAGGTAAAGAAATCTTTAATATGACAATGAGAAGACAGGGAGAGAGGAAAACCAAACCAGATTGGAGTAGGTTAGAAGCCTCCAGAAGGGTTGTTTCACAAAAATGACATTGGTAGAAACCTGATGCATTTAATTATCTTCAGAAAAATTTTAAACAACTGGCAAAAGGTTTAGGGTTGAATTGGTGGTGAATACATAAAATAATAAGTAAAAAAAAAAAAGTCCTAAATTCAAGGGAAAACAAATAATGTGTAGGAAAGGAGATATTCTTCAGAATAAGCCCTCAGTCCTTGGGGCAGGGTCTGGGGTAGCTGATGTCTATGCCTGTCATACCACTTTACGTATGGTACAAATATTTCCATTATTTGATTTGGACCATTATGGTTGGGAAGTAGGACTCTGAGCAAATCTGGTGTATGTGGCTTCTTTTTGGACAGTTGATAGATTTGATTTGCTGAAATAATTTTTATTATTTTTGCATCTATGTTCACGTGGGATATTGACCTTTAGTCTTCTTGCCTTACAATGTCTTTGTCTGATTTTGGTACCCGGAGTAATGCTGGCTTCCTAGAGTAAGTTGAAAGTTGAGAAGTATTTTCTCTACTTCAATTTTCCTAGAATGTTTTGTGTAGAACTAGTATTATTTCATCCTTAAATGTTTGATAGAATTTCTCAGAGAAGCCATCTGGGCCTGGAATGTTCTTTATGAGAAAGTTTTAAGATACAAATTAAATTTCTTGAATAAAATATGACTATTTGAATTATCTTTTCTTGGGTAACCTTTTAAAATCTGTAGATCTTCAGTGATGTCACCTCTTTCATTCCTGATATTGGTAATTTGGATATTCTTTCTCTTTGAACTGATCATTCTGGGAAGAAATATATCAATTTTATTCATCTCAAAGAATCAGTTTCAGTTTTCATTTATTTTCTCTGCTGCTTTCCTGTTCTATATTTCATTGATTTCTGCTTTATTATTTCCTTTCTTCTTTCTGCTTTGGGTTTAATTTCTTTTTCCTTTTCTAGTTTCTTGTGGTAGAAGCTAAGGTCATTGATTGGAACTTGCTTTTCAGTATAGCAATTTCAGTGCTATAAAATTTCCCTCAGTGTACTGCTTTAGCTGCATTTCACAGAATTTGATGAATATGATTTCATTTAGTTCGAAATACTGTCTGATTTCCCTTGTGATTTCTTCTTTAACCCATGTGTTATTTAGAAGTGTGTTGATATAGTTTCCGAATATTTGCGAATTTTCCATATATCTTATATTGATTTCTAATTTAACTTTGTTCTTGTCAAAGAACACTTTCTTTGAGTTGAATCACTTTTATTGAAACTTGTTTTGTGCTCCAGGAAATGATCTATCTTATGTTCAGTATGCACTTAAAAAGAATGTGTATTTTGCTCCTTTGGGGTGGAAGGTTCCATAAATAACAGTCTGGTCAAGTTGATTGATAGTGTTGTTCAGGTCTTCTCTACCTTTGATGATTTTCTGTCTGCTCATCCTTTCAGGTACTAGGAGAGGAATATTGAAATCTCAAGTTATAAGTATGGATTTATCTCTCTCCTTTCAGTTATATCATACTCCTTATACTTCTGTTCTTCTGGTCAAAAGGATTCCTCTCCCTCAGAGATTTAAGTATCCTCTCCGTGAGAGCTGCTGATAGTGAAATAGGTTTGCCCCGGGGGCAGAGCTGGAAGAAAAAGGTAAAAAGAAAAAAAAAAGCCAGGGGATTTTTCCCTCAGTCCCATATGGAGCCGCCCTCACATCCTTCATTCATTCTGCCTAACCAGGTAGAGAAGACTTGTTTTGCATCTTTCTTTTCACCCCTGCTCTGCTGTTCCAGGATTTGGGTTTCCGTTGAGTTCAGGCTGGGAGTTTGGGGACATAAAAAAACAGTAG